AGGAAGGAGGGGCAGAACACTTACGCCAAGCAGACCTTTCCCTTCTCGCCGGCCATTTTGTCAATGATGTTGTAGGGGGTTTGGGGGGAATCAATTGAGGTTTTGCGGAACAGAGGAAGTTTGCGTCGAAGCAATTGACCGGATGAAGAGCTGGAAAGATTGTTGTTGGTACTTCTGAGAAAAAAAAATAAAAGAGGTGAGTGACGGCATGGGCCAATTAATTCTGTGTGAGTCAATGGGAGGTGGGATGGGCAGCGCTGTTTGGCGGGGGGGAGAATTAGCGGCGCTAAGTTTTTCCTGGGTATCTTATCTGTGGAGTCACAGGTTCCCGGTCCCCGTCCCGATGTCGGGTCACGCTTCCAGCTGTGACCACACTCCAGTTGTCAACGCCCTTTAGGTCCGGTCAGCATGTGGAGCCCCGGAACGAGATCCACTCGTCGGCACAGGATAAACCCATCGGGCATTTCGAGATACCAGGGCAGGCCTGCGTGCAGCTCATCTGCTCCGACTTCTTGACGTGTGGGAGCGCGGGGCGGTGAGCGATGCGGCCGCACTAGCAGCTGATTGTTGAGAGCACACTTTGGGCCTCGTCGGTCACGCCGTTCCTGAGTGTCTGCCCTGCTCAATTTGACTGCCGCAATGCCATCCGTGGCTCAAGCATAAGTTCTGGCCCTGCCGTGAAAGAATGGCTTGCAACATTATCAATGGTCTGCTTTTGAACAGGTAGAATGTGGTCAGCATTGTTACGACCCCCCCGCGATTATCTTCATTGTTGAGAGCCGGCGACAGTGGCGATGCCTGGGATCTGGAAGAAGACGAAGACGTGATCAGGCAGACTTAGAGTCGCCTGCCGCTGCCGCTATAGCTCGGAATCGTGGCAACGCTGAGAACATTCGGGGTCGGACCTAGAAGTGAAGTAGCACGGCACTTGTGTGGGAGTTCGATGGCACCCGGATCGTAGCTGCTCAGTCCCCACCAGTATAGTCGGGGTTGCCCATGCCACTATCTTCTTTCTACCACTTCGAGACAATGACTCCGAGGAGTCCCTGAGAGCAGCTTTCCAAGTGAGCTGGCTGAAAGCACTAATGCCACATATGGCACTCACAAGCAATGTTCTTGAGATCAGACCACAGGAGGAGCTCTAATGGCGAGAATGGGCATAACAAGAACAGCTGCTAGGCTATGAGTGAACAAACCGGATTGAGTTGTTTGTAGTAACATAGAAGTCAATCAGAGCTAATAGTCCCATGGATGATTTCAAGTTGGTCACGCCGAAGCACATCCGTCAGTTAGAGACCTGTCATCGGCCGTACTTTTGTTGAAGCCCAACTAAGGAAGGTTGGCAAGGACCATGAGATATAGCAGTCCGCTCATTTGGATAGAGTGAGACTCGAAAGGTTGAATCATCATCCAACATGTGTGGATAACTTCATAGTATTGCCGGTACATTTGCAAGTAATTCACTTACTACGTAGAATTATGAGGCATTCTTGAACTTCGGAACCTCTAGCATGGACTGAAAACAATGGATGTTTTAGTTTCAATAGTTCTTCGAGACCTGTAGCTTGACACTGGCCTCTACAGTTCGTCGAATAGTAAATTACGACAGGATCCGATAAATCGTATAGGTTTCTATCCAGATACGGTAGTGTTTACCAACCAAACCTCAAAAATGACTGACCTGAATCACCGAGTCAGTTTCAATGCCCTTAGAGATTCAAATCATCGACCACTTTTCAATCCGTATATGATTCCCATCTCCCAATGGGTAGTCTTCCGAAGTGCATTCCAGAGTCCCTAGCATGAACGTGTAGCAGTCACGCAGCTTTGAACGACTATCCATACTCCCATCTTTCAACATGTCGAACAACATTATCTACTTCCCAAAATTTCCTAGTTTCCTTGCTCTCTTGAAGTCTTCTGATACTCGTAACCGCCTACTGGCTTCTTGCATTACCACATGGCACGACCTTGGTACAACTAAGCTGCAAGTCAAAGACTCTCAAACTTGTAGATGCGTACCAGGTTCGTGTTCGCCCTCGAGGCACATAGTTCGGATACCTTCAGATATAGAGTAACTAGAGTTGGGCATACCAGTTAACTTTCTCATCCGTTCACATTAACCAGACCCTTGAGGGTTGCTTATTAGATCATTTCCCCTCCTTACCTGAATAGTCACTTACACAAAAAACACATTCTAACGGTGTACAGATTCGGAAAGAAAATAAGCTTTAAGAATACCGGAAATGTATTTTTTAAATGTGTTCTCGATCACAGCATGACGGTATGTTCAATATAGGGACATACATTAATTCCATACTGCGAAACCCTTTGATGGGACAATTAAATGACCCAGCTTCCTGACGTTTGCCTTTCTCAGATATGATGTACTCAGATTGATATCATTCAAAGACCACGGAGATCAACCCAATCAATCATATCGATCGACCAAATCAAAGTCCTCATAAGTGGAAAACACCAATATTTCGAATTAATCATCTCCGTAACCCCCCCATGACTCTTGACACCTCCTGAACAAACATCACAATTCCCCCCCCGCCCCCCCCCCCCCCCCGCCCCCGCAACCTCCAGTCCACCCAAAATGGCGATTCCAGCAGCCGATCTACACCCCTCCGCCAAAGGCAGATCTTTTCTCTTTTCCTTAGCGGTTGCACTTTACTCGTGACCCGGAAAAGCGTTACGGATGGGCAGTACACAGTACCCAAAGTCCACGCTGGTCAATGCGGTGACCAGCTCCAGAGGGACATTGATGGCCGTACTCGCGCACATCACCCCTCCTCACTCGTGCTCCACGCCCCGCGGCGGGCTTGCCTGATACTCTCTTGCTCGCTCGGAACCCATTCACTCTGCCGATACCACCAGGATGAGGGCTGGCACTCACTCCGAGATCCAGATATACCTGCGCCCAGTCTGGCGCTGAGTGCGGGCGCGCGTCGGCGGCACAGCACGAAGAGAAAAGGGCATGATTCCCCCCTGTGACTTCACCATGCCATCATCGAACCCTCCCTACTTTGACACCAAATTTAGTGACAAGTTCATCTCATGAAGGCGAATGAAAGAAAAAACGCGCTCAATGGTTGATAGTGATTGTGAACCGCATAATGCGAAGTTAAAGTCTATATTCGTCCACGGCCACCCGGGCGTCTTGCCCCATTGCACAACATTTTGCGTGTGCAAAAGTTCCGCGATGCCTTGCAATTACATAGATATCAAGGTGGTCCACGACTCAGGCCGTGCTTCAGCCACTCACCACAGAGCGACAAGAAGATGTAACGAGAGGGCCTTACCCGCCTGCCGTGGAGTACTCCGGCAGCTGGGACGACTATGCACTCAAGCTGTGCGCCCCTGGCTGCTGATCAGCATTGTCAGGCAGCGGCATGGGGCAGCGCCTCCTGTGATCTGAAGCGTAGGCCCTCGAAGCTTTCCAATCGCATGAAAAGTCTAGGATATTGCAGTGCCTTCCTTGACTTCAAGTCCTGTTTAAAGGTAGTCCGCGATTTTCAGCCCAACCACCAGAGCCTAAACTGTGGATCTCTGAGCCTGTGTAAGTTGGAGCCCAACCGGTGGATGAATGCGAGTAGGTAGCGCCTGCGCATTGTAATATCAAATTGAACATTCAAATGACATGGCGTCTAACTTCAAGTCGATCTTCAGACTACGATCCTTCAAGGCCTCGAAGCAGCAGATGAAACTTGAGTATCTTTGTTGCAGATATCGAGCCAGATTATGGATGCTACGTCCAGGCCCGTATCAGGAACCCGTTGGTCAGGAAACCCCAATGCTGATCTAAAGATCCTAGCAAGGTGCATTTTCCGGGGTGAGAAACAAGATGGCCCAGCCCGCCCTGACTATAATGACTTCATAGTGGACATTGCAGCCTCGGAATTTGTGGAAACTCACTTTTCTGCAGTGTTGTTCCAAAAGGTGCCGGGGCAAACGGTCCTACGGCTGAAGAGTTCTGCAACCCGCCGCAAATGGGTTCGGAGAGACTGCCGCAAAGGATGGTCTCGCGACGTCAGGATATACGTTGCCGCGGCTCAAGGAGGCAAGCGCCCGACTGGCTCGTCAACGTTGTGATTAAACGTCCGCACTATTGTCGTGTTGCCATCCAAACGGTCGACTCAGGAGATGGTTCAAGGCCGTTTATTTCGAGACGCCGGTGGCCAATGGCGATGGAGTGATGATGTGACGTGCCACGTGCCCGATTGCAGCATTGTGCAGTCCGTCCTCCGGTCGCTATTCTGCCACAGGCGTGGGGGCAAAAGGCATGACGTCAAAGGGGTGTTTCGCATCACTTTGGAGGTTTGGAGCGAGGCACATGAACGCAGCTGTATTGTCTCTTCGTAATTTCAACGCGCGTTTACAACGTCCAACCTGCAGAGTTAGCAACAAGTAGGCTGCGCCAAGGGGTAGGCCTGTCCATTCATCATGACGATCATCTCGGGACGGCGTTGGGCGCGCCGGGATGGTGAGCCCCATCTCGCTCTGATGATCGTGAATGCAGCATGTTCCACCAGCGACAGTCTCAAGGAGCAGGGCGGACCATGTAGCCGATTGGGGGTTGTCTGAGTTGACTTTGTAAGTCGCGTCAAGCGAGCTGAAAAACAGGCGCGTCGTTGTTCTCATCATACCTCGAGCCTTGAATACTCGGCATTAGGTTTGTATGAGGAACCCCCGTGGACTGCAATGTTGATCCCTTAGAACGCTCAATTTTCTATGATGTGTGCGCGTAGCTGTTACCTAAGCCAAAGCTGATGAGAAGCCACGTCCAACGACGAAGACTCGCCTAGACTTGTTGCTATCGAGTTCAAGTTGTTGGGCCCATTGAATCCAAAGCTGGCTTACCCGTCGCGAGATGTGTCGCAGTGTAAACTGACCTCTGTTTGCCATACTCCCGAGGTATGTGTGGCTGAGAAAGCACTGCAGTTCGACTGGGATGGGACGAGATGTGGCTGGTACTGCAGAAAAGGGCTAGAAATCTAATTCGGCCAAAGCCGCGCCAAACGTGGAGAGGTAAAAGGTATGAATGACGACAGAATATGGCTCGTGCAGAGAAGTGGTCTGGACCAGTCCATTCGGCGCTCTGGCTTCAGGCCTTCTTGTTCTCGCCGTTTGCGGGTTTGTGATGCCACAAGCGCAATGAAGATATCTTTGGCTAGAGCGTCGAGTTTAGGATTAGGGAGATAACCTAACAAGTCTGTCAGGCTAGCTGAGGAGAAGCACGAGCTGTCCAGTGTCAAGTACGAGAGCTGAACGAGGTGTTGATGATGCCATATTCCCATCTGCCCTGCCTACGGTTGACCAATGAGTGCCAACATCGTCAGGGAAGCAGTTGAGCCTCAGTCTGAACATAGCAGACAGCTTATCACGATTCGTTGATAGCGAGCCATGTTGTGATATCACTGCTCGCACATGAGGCAGGCAGGTACGGGTAGGTATCTTCATTAACCTCATAGAAATGGGGCGGTACACACCGAGCTCGCGACTGAGACTCCCGCGTCGCGTGGATGACGGACGGGAGGCCGGGTGGTGTATCTGACTAGCCGATTTCCCGCATATCAATGAGAAATGGGTTGCCATAATCCCTAGGTACCTAGTTAGAGGAGGTAGGCTCAGTGACTGCGTAGTGAAAAGCGTCGTCAGTGAAATGACAGTGGCGTGTGTGGCTTGCGCATCGTCGCCCATCATCATCTCGGAGGCATATGGTTAGTCGCGGGGTGACTCGGTGTGTGGATCCAGCGCGATATATGATTGGCTCAATCGGTAAACAGAACGGGCAATGCAAGCGGTACGGTACGACAGTGACCCAGTGATGCGGGAAGATGCGAAGCGGAGACGAGACCAAGTAGCCTCAAATGGAGAGTGGGCTGGAATCTAAGACAGGCTGGCGGTGTATCAGCGAGCAAATTCGACTACATGAATGGGGGAGGAGAATGAGAGAGAAAAGTAGCGGCGGACCCCTGCAAAAGACATTGATGGTTGACGATGGTGACGATAATTTGGGAGTGAGCTTTTGGTGTTGCAGGTCAGAGCGAGTGAGTAAGTAAGGTACTCTCCATGTTGAACGCTGGAGGGAGTACCCCCGGAGAGGAATGAATCATGGGCCCTGACTGGCCACGCCTTGATCTGGCCGGTGGCCTCAGGCAAGATGGCCGAATCCATATTTACCCCCCAATGATGCATCAGGGCGTCTGGTTCCAAAGATGCCATCCCTGCCAGAAGCGGGTATGACGATGAGGCAGACGTCATAATGGGGGCCCCACGCCATCCAAGCGAGTGGAACAGGCTCCGATCCTGGATGGGCACCATGGGACGGGTTGGATCACAGCCATGGGTTCAAGGTTGACCACGCCAACCGGGCCCTGCTTCTGGAGTCCTGGCACCTGGTTCTTCTGCGCCTGGGACTGGCAAGCCTGGCGTGTCGTGCGTGTCTGGCTGCAACCGGGTGCCCAAATCATGGAATTGGGAAACGTGGCGGCGGGAGGGCAGACGGGAAAATGTGAGTTTTGCATCTTGGATTCGCGCCCTCGTCTGACCCCAGCCCTTGTTCGGCCGGGGGCCATGGTGTATGATTGACCCAGATAGAGATGGGGGCAGCAGTGAGCTGTCGGATGTTTGTAGATGGTATTGCCAACTTTGAGAGTTCCCGAATCATGGATACCGGCTGATTGCCGTGGTTGTGTCCGTATGTGTCTCTGAGTGACTGTCAATTCTGCCAGTAAATACACAGTGCCATGTCATGCATCATCCCAACTTAACGTCGCAAGTGGCCGACTCTAGCGTGTCCAGCGCCCCTGAACTCTGGTTCCTTGGCGCCGACGTAGCGTCGTTCGTGGTCGAGACACAGTTGGAGTCTGTTTGTCGAACTGTGTGTCTCTGTGTGCCGATTCTTGTCTTCAGTGCTGTGTCATCACTCGCCTGAACCTCGCCATCATAGAGAACATGGCTCAGCGTAGCAAATGTGCAGATTGTCCTGTATATAGTGAATCCCGCGGACAATCGACGAAAGAATCGGAGGGAGGCTTCTTGATGCCCCTTGCTGGGCACTTGCCATGCCCCTGTCCCATCTGAATCGCAATCTTGGATCTGGCGCTCCGTACATGGCGAATGGGTCCGGGGTTGGGATGGTGAGAGGGACGTTTTGAAACGAGTCGATTGGTTTGACTGCAAACATCATGAGAGTTGAGCTGAGAAGCTTAGATAAGATGTCTCCTCCCAGTCGACGGGAGGCAGGAAGCAAGGAAGATGATGGATGGAACACCTCTGGAATGATTAGAAATCCCCAGGTACCTCCAGTGTACATGAGGTATCTGCGAAATCGACGCCGGCAGCAACGGAGAGCGAGTTGAGGAAAGTGTCTTTCATGATGCTGGCCGGAAAGGGAGAGAAGCCAAAGTAGCTCCTTCCCCCGTATGAGGCCTTCGTCGAGCATGGCAGGAATTCAGGACGTATCGAGGCGCCTTCCCCAAGCCATGCACGGTTACCTCAAGGCGCGTACGGAGTATACCTTACGGTCTCAGGTACCTCCAGTTAAGGTACATCTACACTGGCCAAGTACCAGGAAGCACCCCGCCTTGGCTCCTGCTGCTTTTTTTTCTTCTTTTCTTTGACGAGCAAAACACCACACAAAACAATCTTGCTGAGGGGAGAATATCTGGGAAGGAAGCAAATGACTACCTTGCTTAGATACTTGTTTCATTGCGCTTTCCCAACCATATATCCATCACATCTGTCTATCTGTGTATTCTGTGCATTTAATCATCGTCCAGACCAAAGGTAAACTGACTGCAACGGGGAGACACATGATGAGGGAAGCACGAGAAGAGGAAAAAAGAAGCCCCTCCACGGGTGCCGTTGATGACTGATGCTCTTACCTTTTCTTTCCCTCAGCCTCTCACCTGACAAACCTCGGGTCGCTCTTCCTCTTGCACCTCCCGTCGCTATACTGATTCACGCTCGGCTGGTTCACCGAGGGTTCCAAAACAAAAGTAAGGCCCATCGACCTTTTACATCATCATCATCATCATCACCTTGCGCATCTATGTACAGCTCCGACCGCAGCCTGTCTTTGCACACTGTCCAGCTGGCGCAACCTTTCACACGCCCTCACTCCCGGCCTCTCACACACCTCGCTGGGCGAACAGCTACCTCATCTGACACTTGTCCACCAAACCTCTGTCATCATCATCGCTCAAATCCAGTCAACCGGGCCAGTCTACTGTCCAGTACGGTAGTCAGCCCGTCTCTGCATGCCACTTCCGAAGACCAGGACGGAGCAACGCACACTCCCCCCTCTGCACTCTAGTGTCCTCGCCCACCCCAGAAATTCCAAGTCTTTGACTTCTCCCAACTTGTCGCACGGTACGTGCCGCAAAGTACCTCTACCCTGTTCGCACACCAAACTACCTTACGAAGGAGGTACCTTGCCGACCTACAGCGACTACTGGCAGAACACGCCGTCATCGTCTACCATTCTTCTTCGCCTAGCCCTGTCAACCTGAACCCAACCAACACCCCTCCCCGGCTCCAAATCCATACCTATTTCCCTCTTTCTACCTTGCTTTGGTGCGGCCCCTAGCGCCGTCTGCCCTTTTTCGCCCTTCCCTTTCGCTTGGTCCCCCGGCCTCTTCTAACCAAGACAAACGTGCTGCTGCTGCTGCCCGTCTTCCCGCCCGATCTCCAGCTGCCTGCTCCTCCAACTTCCGTCATCCGAGTCCACGTTGCCCCTCCGCCAACATCACCAACGCTCGCTGCAGTCCACAAATTCCTCTTCCTCGCAACAATTTCTCCCTTTCAGCCGCTGATTCCCCCTTCCCCCATTCACAAAGAAACAACCTTGCACCCGCTTCTGTCGACTCCGACATTTCCTCACTTCTCTCTTCTCGTGATACAACAATCCATTCCAACTTTGCCCAGGATTCAAAGTACCGCATCGCCCACCGAGCATATTCCCACGACTCGTGCTTTGCCGTCTCCGCATTACCAATCACACTCAAACATCGAACGTCCCCTCAACACGGGGCAGGTCGACCGATTCAGCCGCCGATTACTGCGACGTGTGCTGCGTAAACCTGACTTTGCGAATAACCTCACATAACGTCGTCCCCCTAGCGGCCCAATCTAGCATCATGTCGACGATACAGCAGCTTAAGAACTTTATCCGACACGGTATGATGTCCCCTCTCTTCCCTTGCCTCGTCGGCGCACTGGGTCCTTTCACGATTCGAGCTGTTTGCTCATGTCGCGCCCCGATTCTCCTTGGCGACTTGAACACTCTCGTTGGCTACCAATTTGCTGACGCTATATATGTGTAGGAAAGCAAGCTCGAGCGAACAACGATGAGCCGGCAGCCAAGCAGTCTCCGCCGCCTAAGGCGCATGTAGGCGTATCAGAGCCTGCGTATGCCGCCGCACCACCTGCTCAGGCGATTCCCGAGGCGTACTCAGTTGCTGGCGATGGCCAGAACCGCGTCGCTCAGGCAAACCACGCAGCCGCCCACGCCGCCGAGCCGAACCAGTACAAGACGTCCAAGGCCGGCAAGAACATCGACAACACACACTTGGCCAAGCTTGTGGCCGAGGAGAACGAGAGCAGGAGTAAATTCCCGAGATATCCCGGCTTGGAGAGATGGGAATTGGTCGAAAAGATGGGCGACGGTGCCTTCAGCAACGTCTACCGCGCGCGCGATACTACTGGCGAGCACCCCGGCGAGTGTGCCATCAAGGTCGTTCGCAAGTATGAAATGAACAGTATGCAGGTGAGTTATTGCTTGGGTGGTTACGGCCGCGACCATGATTTTCTCGCTTTTTGTTCGCTGCGTTGTTGCTTTTGATTTGAGCCTTTTGGAGCATTCCCATACCAACCGAGGGTCGTGATTAGGGAAACAAGCATTTACATCCGGACTTCAAGAAGGTCCCCAAGGCTGCAGAGGTGCGAAAACTTTCTATATTTCATTTGTCTACTATTCGGGCCATTCTCACTTTTCGACACTTTCATGTTGTTCTACAGTCACTGTTATTTCGAGGATGGCCTTCCATTTGCTTGACGGACACGTTTGCTGACCTCAGCGTAGAGAGCAAACATCTTGAAAGAGGTCCAAATCATGCGACAGCTTGATCACCCGAACATCATCAAGTTGATTGATTTTTCCGAATCCCGGCAATATTACTACATCATTTTGGAGTTGGCGCCTGGTGGCGAGCTTTTCCACCAGATTGTTCGCCTCACGTACTTCAGCGAGGAACTTTCGAGGCACGTCATTGTGCAGGTTGCGCAGGCTTTGGAGTACTTGCACGAGGAGAGGGGCGTAGTTCATCGGTAAGTACGACGCAGTTTGCTTGTCACCAGCCCACACCGATGAGATCGAGGCAGTGAGTGGTGGGAGCGCCGACTATGCATCTTTCCGTGACGTCATTCGGTCGTTCAGTTGACTAACGTGCAATGTCCCAGTGATATCAAGCCTGAAAACATCCTCTTCAGCCCGATCCCGGTCATTCCGTCCAAGAACCCTAAGCCTAAGCAGCCTGGCGATGAAGACAAGGTTGATGAGGGCGACTTCATCCCTGGCGTTGGTGCGGGTGGCATTGGCCAAATCAAGATCGCCGATTTTGGCCTGTCCAAGATCGTGTGGGATAACCAAACCATGACGCCCTGCGGCACTGTCGGATACACAGCTCCCGAAATTGTCAAGGATGAGCGCTACTCGAAGTCTGTCGACATGTGGGCATTGGGTTGTGTCCTCTACACACTGCTTTGCGGTTTTCCTCCTTTCTACGACGAAAGCATCGAGGTGTTGACGGAGAAGGTTGCCAAGGGCCAGTACACTTTCTTGTCCCCTTGGTGGGATGATATTTCCAAATCTGCCCAAGACCTCATTTCCCACCTTCTCACCGTGGATCCTGAGAAGAGATACACCATCACTGAATTCCTCGCCCACCCTTGGATCAAGGGCTCTGGCCCAACGCCTCGTGACGAGAAGAAGACGCAGCCCGATATGCTGCGCGCGTTCGATGCCAACAGAATCAACGATGGCGACCGTCGCTACGACTTCCGTTCCCCCGGTGCGGTCAACTTGCGTGAAGTGTTTGACGTCGGATACGCTGTTCACAGGCAAGAGGAAGAGGCCAAGCGCCGGAAGCAAGTTGGCACCAAGGGCGGTGTTCCCGCTCGCTTCCTCAACAACCTTAACGAGGAATCAGAGGATGAAGATGCGGAAATGGCCGAGAACAAGGAGGCTGAATACGTCCACAAGCCATCGCAGGCGACACAGGCACTCGAGCAGAGCATGCGTAATGCCCAGATCAAGGATCAGCAAGAGCATCGCGGACGCGAGCGTGAGCGTCAAGCGCCTGCAGCTAACGAGAAGGGTTACGGCCAACACTCGGCAACTGTCACGGCTGCAGCCCGCCAACAGGTTAGAGACCGCAACAGACAGAAGGGTGCCTTTGAGCTCAGCCTTGACGGCGCCACATTGTTGGGAAGACGAAACAAGCAACCTCTCGCGGCAAGAGCTGGCGGCGCATAGGAGCCCCGTACTCCAAGCTGCACTCCTCCCGGGAGTGAGGTCGAACTTGCGCGAAGCCCCAGCGCTACGAAGTAGACCTAGAAGGTGGCACTATGAACGGACCGTTGTGACATTTCAGGCGTAAGGGTTACAGGGATGGCATATCTTGGTCGAGTGGCCGAGGACACTAGCGCAAATCATGATACGAACGTCGTGGATATCCAGGTTGTGTCTGTCAAAGTAGGGTTTTGTTTGTGATTTGTGTTTTCCGGGGAGGATTAGTTACGACACGTATCTCTATTATGCGGCATTATACATACATAGGCTCGGAGTTCATTGGCAACTGGGACCATAGTTTCTCATTGCGTAAACAATGAATGAGATTTGCAATTCAATTTTCATTTCAACTCTTTCAAAGATATCTCGTCTACTCGAGTGATGGTTTGGTAATGTGCTGTCTATGCGTCCAGGGAATTCGTTTAACCACATGGTCGAGCTATCAGACAATTTGGGTTCGTTGGATGCTTTTCACAACCTTTCGTGGCATCAAAATACCATCTTCGTCCTCGTTCTCGTATATTGATTGCCCCCCATGGCCTACAACACAACCGACCCGAAGGTTGATGGCTTGGGCCCACTCGAACGGGCACACTATGTCTCCGATAATCATCAATCCCAAGTATTCAGTGTTCCCCAAAGGCCATCAGCGCAAGGTCAAACCATGGTGACCTATACCGGGACAGCAGCGTGGTCTCCCTCCGGGAAGGGGTGGACTCATGTCTAGCAGAGCAGGTACGGGGCGGGCGGCTGCTTTGTTCCTCGGGTTAGGTTGCTTCAGTATACCTGACAGATGCAGCTGTGGTCATGATAGGGAGGTACGTGACTGCACGGGCAAAAGTAAGTAGTACTTTCCCGTCGTGGCAGGTGGCATTCGGGGAATCATTGGGATGTTTTTCTGTGTTCCTGACGAAGAGGGCCGTTGCGGTCTGTGATGTTCTTTTCGATGCTTAAATCGTATGCTCGCTTGACTTCTTTTTCTCAGACCACTGGGGACTGGCCCCCGAGTTTCCAACTTCATCTCGTCCCCATCATACTGACTGCGACAGCTTCTTCTTCTTCTTCTTCTTGTTGTCGATGGAGTCTTTGCTTGGCGGTGAGCCATTCCTCGTGATTGTCCGACCCGGTTGTCGAATACTCTCTCCCTGGTATGATGGTGCTGTAAGGTTCCCCAAGTCGTCAAGGACTCAGACCTAGAGGATATTCTGATGAGGGGCCAAGGAGGATGTCGGAGCGAAGTATACCGTGTCGGAATTTTCTTCTAGTGTGCGTATAAGCTGATCCTGTCGCAGTTGTCTCCCCTATTGTAATTGTCGTCGTCATCGTCGTCGTCGGGGGTGCTGTGTTGTCCCCCACAATGTCTGTTGTCCGCAATTGTGATTCGGATCGGTCTCGCTCAGGGCAGCTTCGCAACTTCAACACCAGGTCGTCAAGTTCTAGAACGCGTCACCGCATCGGATCAGTAATCTCAAGCACCAGGCCCAAAGCAGATCTTGCAGTGTGCCCTTCTTCTAGCTCCAGAGACAAAAAAGGTGATGGCCGATGGCCAGGACAGCACAGGCGCCTTCGACTATACTCCATCGACCCAGGACCATTCACAGCGATGTTGAGCCGCCGAGACAGGATTCGCCAAGACGGCAGCCCTCACCCATGGCCGAATCTTTGCGAAGAGGAGAGAAAAGGTCAGCGGGACGGCCCGCTCACGGGATTCGATCCGGCGGGAGCGGAGCTCACCGCGTTTCTTGATGGGGAGGAGGGGTCGCTCGTGGGACCAGGGTCGGATCGGATCTAAGGGTCACGATCTCGGAGAGGCGCTTGCCTGCGGCCCCAGATGGCGCAATTACGGGGACCTTGGCGCGATGGCCGATGAATTGCGCAACGACAGCTCATCGAAGAGGCTCGGACTTTGACCGTATTCTTGGGATGACGAACAATTTGCGATCAAAATTGAGTCTTTGGCTTTCGAGAGAGCAATTTCGAGCCTGACGAACACCGTACTCAGAATTGTCAAGAGATCCACCTTGACCTTGCCTGGTTTCAAGTAATCGATTGAAGCTTAACGGGATCAAGGGGGGAAGGCCATATCGACAACAACCTTTCGAGACAGTTGTCTTCTCACGAATCTGACTTGACCACGCCATCTTAGTCTTCGAGGTCCAAGCCTACGACACGAGTTGAACAAATGTGTGGGCTTGCGATGTGGTGCCATATCATTCAACAAAAACGTGCCGGTATCAACTCTTCTGCTTTGAGAGATCCTTTCGAAGACGGTCTTTCCTTTCGAACATTTCGCGTCGTCGTTCGCGTTTCTAAAGTGTGTTTGAGTTGGCAATTAGCTTCTGGTCCTCAATCCAATCAACGGCAACTCGTCTAGTTTGGCTCAAAGGAGTATACTGTATCGGCTTTTTTTCTTTAGAATATACTTAACGATTGCAATCTGCAATGCCACGTCTTCCATTTCGAGCTATTAGCAGCAAAGAATCATTTTGATCTGGCTGACTTGAGCGTATCAGAAAATCGGATTGTGCCAATTTCCATTCTTGTTGGAGTGCAAACGGCAAAATGCAACACAAAAAGCAGAACTGTGGCCAGACGGTGTCGACACAGTCACAACCCAAACTTGATACAGATACGGACAATAGACCTCTCAGCCAGACTGCCAGCTTCAAGGGACCTTCATTCAATATTTCGTCATTTGGTCAGACCATTCTGTCAAGTACAGAGATGTCAGAGACGTTGCCGACTGCAACTCGGTGTTGAGAACCTTGATGGCCTGCATTGATAAGGCCATTTTGAGAGTGTCTCAGGAACCCGGATGGCCAACCTTGATGGCCCAGCATCTCACACAAAATCAGTCTCCGCCATCGCCAATCCGCCAACCATCACCCGCGATGTTGCTGGAATTGAGCAAGATAGCCAGCGCATCCTCGAACTATGGACAGGTCAGGCGGCAGGCCACAGCATGTCGACGACTCGCAACGGATGCTGATGGACCGGGTGTTTTGATGAGCCAATTTTTCCCAGCCAGTTCGCACTACCCTTCCCACCGGGGGAATGCCGTTTCTCCCTTCCACCGCCATTCTGAGGCCCCTGAGATAGAGAGATGGTTGAAGGCATAAAAGGGGCCGCTCATCCTATCTTCCTCGTCTCGACCCCTTTCACTGTCATCTCTTCATTCGAGTGCCCGCAACACCGTCAAGTTGGCCGCTTTGAGGGCCGAAGCAAATCGACCAAGATATGCGACAACAGCCAAGTTCAGACGGCTGAATGGAGGGAATGGGAAGACAGAGAAAACCCGCACACTGTATCGATCAGTCAGACTCTACTCCTCGCCTCTCCTGACGTCTGATGTTTACCTCTCGGGTCCCGGCTCAACATCAGGCAGGGCACGGCGCCTTAGAGAACCCCCACGGTAAGAAGCCACGGCCTCTCCTTTTTGTTCCTTCTCCTTGTCCATACCTCTCGCCTGTCTCGCTTCATTTCCCTTCTCACCGGTCTCTTGACTCTCTTCACCTCGAGCTCGGAGTAATTGGCCGATTGGGTAACCTGCTCCATCACGAGTTGCCCAGCGTCGCCGTCGGCCAATCTCGATGATTGGACAACCCACGCCTTTTAGCTAAGAGGTATTATCGCTCTTCTCTCTTTACGGAACGTCCGATAGGGATTTTACTGGGATTGTCTTCCCCTGGCAAGGTTCTTTTGAATCTCCTCTAAGCGGCGGAGCCGAGGTAGAGCTGAGGTTTAGGCAAAGGCCTATAGTCTCACTGGTGAGACTCCATCACTGAGTTGTCTTCGATGACTTGCTTTCCTGAGGCTTTTCACCATGCTTTGATGATGGATGGCGAGGTCATCTGGCGTTGGACAAGTCTATCGTCTGTCGATTCTCTCGTCTTTTTCTGTCTGTTGTTTTCCGTCTTTCCGCCTTTCACTCGAGGCTGCCTAGTAAGCAGACGGATCCCACTTGGGTAGACAGCTAGTCCCAACTCTGGCCAATACGGGATGGCTGCGTCGCATCACCTGAAGACTTTGGTGCGGGATGGTACAAACTCTGTTTTGCGCGGGTGCCGCCGCCAAGCGCATCACAAGCAGATTTCCTTCTCTGTCGTCCTACATACATTGTCATGCATACACAGACGGATTCACACCAATACGCACCCAACCACGACGAGCAATGCCGCCGTCGCCTTTCCTCAGTCTGGTGCCGTGCCCCAGAGGCGTCCACTCTCATAGCTCTTCACTCCAAAGCAGCCTTTCTTCACACATCCGATAATCCACAATCCAGACCGGCTCTGCCCACCCTCCCACGCTGTTCCTAGCCCGAACGTTTGACCGAAGATGGGCGGGGCTACCCTCATCGGGCACTTCTCATCCACTCACCATTGACGATCCTTCCAAGCCCGCCTACAGCATCGCATTCACACGACCACGGCAGCCATGCACGCTCCATTCTGCCGCCCTGTTCGCCATATCGAACTGTCGTGCGTGGATGCCCAGCCTGCCACACTTGACCCAATCACAAGAGCCCGGCGCCCCGTCGTCGGGTGGGACCCCCAGCCCGAACGTGGCACCCTGCTCCGTGTTACCAGCCGACCACACGTCTCAAAGCTTGCACAGCTCTGCACCCGTAGATTCGGTCCCAGACCCCGCTCCTCAACGGTGCCAGTCCACCTTCTCCAAGCCGCAGGGAGCTACTATGGATCCAACCATGGGAATACCAGCCTGATGCGGTATCACACAACCGCCATGTCATCTCTCTGCCTCCAACAGAGCTTGCGCGGTATTCGCGGTCTACACTACGGAGCACTTATCCGATCCTCCAGGGATAGACATGTCCCTTCTCCGAGGACTCCCGCGCCTTCCACGTAACCGCGAATGAAATCGCGCTTCCTCGTCCGATAGCCGCCTGATGTCTGGCTGACTGATACGTGGGGGACATGCCTCCGAGATGGCTATATAAACCCAGACCAGCTCTGGTCGAAAACGAGATTTCTTCTTCATCCGACTCATCAGCTTCAAACACCAGACTCACAACAAACAAACACTCAAGCCTTTTCGCTTCCACCACCAAACTATCAAAATGGCCCCCTGGTGAGTGAACCGCCTGCTCTGTCTTCCACGCACGGGAGATACAAAATTGCGCATGAGTTTCTTTCTGGATGATTGGGATTCTCTTTGAGTTTCGATCTATCCCACCGGAGGAGCTATGCCTTTGAGATCTCCAACGTCGAAGCTAACCTGATGTGAATAGCACCTGCTCCTCCTGCGGCTCCAGCTGCGCTGGCTCCTGCACTGCCTGCTCTTGCGGCTCTTGCTCCGTAAGCCACATCTCTATGACAGCAAATCTCAAGATACACAGGTGCTGACCTTCAATCTTCATAGCACTAAACAAAGCATGACTTCTCTGCTCCCATCAAATTTGACAACCCGGAAGCGGCTCGCTCGCCAATAGCCAATATCCAACCCGAGCTGTGTGCCCTCCATTCGACAACGCGGGTGGAAGGATTGTAAGATGTTGACTTAGGGGTGGATCTTTGACTGCTGGAACCCAGTTCCATTTGCCAATAATGATTGCCGAAACGGGGAATCCTCTAGTCGGTGGAGAACGCCGGGTTTCTACGTTTACGCTTGACAATTCCGGCAGTTCTTGTTGGTAGTTGGAACTGGGACTCGAGATGGAGAATTCTTCTTTCATTCTTTTTTATCTCTCGTCTCGTGGTATGATAGTTTTGTTTTGAGATGGCAATACGAACTACGAGTGTTTTGATTCCCGGGAAATATCGTACCTCTTCTGCTGGTGACCCAATCATGCGGCCTATCTTGCTTGGGTAAAGTACATATTCTGCGAAAAATGAATAGCTTTGTATCCTTGTGAGTGATTTAAAGGCATCTGATTCTTCAGGTGGGGATCTTGCTTCCCTTGGAGAGGTTGCGGGCGGCCCGCCGAATGCCTACCTAAAGCGGGACATGCATGCATGGCTTCGAGCTGATTGACGCTATTTGCTGAGACTGGAGCTTTTCGGGCCTCCAAACTTGCCAAATCAGTGAGGGGAAGAAGGTTAGGCTTTCTCCAAAGGGGGCCAGCTCCAATGAAGATGGGAGCAAGGTCGGGATGACAGCAAGCTTCGTTCGGGAGAGCTGGAGAATCTTCCTTTCCCATCCACTTCGCTGGCACCTCTGGTGGTTAATCCCCCACTCGGCGTCGGGATCGGGGTTCATGCGGGCATGTGCTGGATGGTTCGCAACGGAGGGGGAGGTGCGGGGGACGAGGCGTTGGTTCGTTGGTGTGTGTAAGATACATGTGCCTAATTTATCAATGTAGGGCGTTTCGAACTGTCAGCTGACTGATTTTGACTGATTGATGCGTTGGATGGATGCGGCTTGGCACATGAGAAGATGTGGTTGCGATAGGGAGGATAAGGTAGGTGGGATGAGCACGAAGGCATGCGGCGAGAAACGGGTGGCAGAGTTGCGGCTTGTGATTGAGGATGTGAGGTATGCGAACTTGACTGGGTGTGGTTTGGCGGCGATTTGGGGGCGATTTAGTTGGGGGAGCTATCTGAGGCGCGGCGCGCGGCGCGTGGTTATTAGGTAGGTACTTACTAAGTAGTCAGTGCCGTGATCTGCTGGTAACGGGGTTTCGGGGTTTCTCTGTGTTGGCGTTGAAACAACGAGGGGGCTTGAAAATGATGCAAGGTCGATGGGAGTGTTGGTTACCTACCTCATCGCTTTGGATGATGTGGTTGATCTGTACGATATTGGCAATTGCTGTCTCTTTTCGGGGTGCACGTCAACGAAGAAAATTCTTCATGGGTTGGTCCTTGAGGACCATTCGACCCTTCGTGGAAATTAAAATTGCAGTGAACGAAGCGCCGATTGGTTGTGGCACTACTTGTAGGCTCAGCGCTGCAACTATCCCCCCGTCAGCTTCGAAGATGACTCTGACGATGAAACAAAATATGATATTGAGATTATATGCATTCACCTGTCTAACAGAGTACCTCGCAAATGACTGAATCAGGCTTCACATACCAAGGTTCTATTATCGGCAATACTAAGTACAACGAGAGCCGACTTAGTAACGGCCATAGTAGCGAACCTTGATGGCTCGGTTGTGCAATCTTTTCTAGACCCTGACAGCCGGGACTGTCACTCAGTTTCTCTTTTTCATCTCGAGTAGGAATGACAATTTTAGCCTGATGAAAAAATTCCATGTTAATGAACTGATTACTGGCAGGAACGTGATCTGCCCGGACGCCGATGTCCCCGGCCCCTCCTCAAGTGCTCATCTCTTGAAGGGCTTTCATAGCTAAAGCAACGACAATCGACTCTAACAACACCCAGACAAACTCAGAAACGAGCCGCGAACATCCACTGAGTCTTCACGAATCGATTCCCCGAAAAGATAACCTACGATTCAACGACAAGCGCATTACCCTCGACGAAAAACTTACGAACCCACCCGACATAGCACCAGCCAGCGAAGCCAAAGGTCTAAATCAACAAGACAAGATCACGAATCCGAACAAGAACTATACATAAATTAAGCTTCAACTCTCACCGGGGAACTTCCCGCCTTCGAGCGGGGGTCTCGGTGAATTGTCAAATCTCCAGCGATCCACCCCGCTTAGAAAGCCCGCGACAAGGAATATGCCCGGATGCGGTCGGCCAGCTGGGCAGGCGGAGCAGCAAAAGATCCCGGTGCAATGCGGGTGAAGTGCCGATAGGGCTAGGATGGGGCCCAACGCGGAGTTGAGAATCGTATGTTCATCTGATCCGAGATCGCAAGTACCAGTATGAGTTGGTATTGATGTAGTTGCTTGCGACATCGCAATCCCGGGTAGGATCGGTATAGCTCACTCCAGAGCTCGATGCGAAGGGGAATCACGAACACATCCAAGAGTTCAAGAGAAAGCGGCAGCTGTTTTAAGGATTCTAATAAGCCAAGCTCAGGCTCGACAAGTCTCCTTTCACCACGCACCAGATCACCAAGTCGAGGCAAGGCTGATTGGCGGACAGGATATGCATCTCTAACCAAATCCGTCGGAACCTGCAGCGCACACGGTAGAACGGAAGAAACACAGATGGCGACGTTCAATGAGAAGCGCCAAACGGATCAGCCAGCCCGGCGGTACGGCACGGCACGGCTCATGAGGTTGGAGGTTGCCTTGGCTCTTTCCGTTGTCGTTACATGACTTGACGCCTGCGTTGTGTCAGTGGTGCCACGGTGGGAAACGCATGAGCGCTTAGTGGGTTGCCCTGCCGCAGATACTTGAAGCATGTCAGACGGTGGGTGTCGCACGGCGTCGTCCACTGTCGCCATGTAAATTGTCTTTTGGAGGCGGCGTGGCGACATCAGGCTCCAAGAGTCCTTGGCAACTCGGTGGCAACTGATCCTCTAATGGCTGGTGATGTCTGCCAGAACTGCGGTTCGCGGACTGGCGGTAGTTTGAATTGCGTGTTATGATGCGGTGGCCCACGTTGAGTGTTTGCACCATCACTTTCAGCCATGGTTCTCTGAGCAAGTTAGAAACTCCTTGTAGCTTGTGCAACAACTTGTGCAGACCACACCAGTCTTGTTCGAGGTTGTTTAAGTCCTATGTAGACGATTCCTCACAATTGTCAGGCTCATTGTCGTCGGGGTACCTTATTCTCCGTCTCTATTACGTGCAATTACGCGCAGACTGCTTGGGGTTCCATATTGAAGTTTCGAGTTGCGAATGATCCGATTGGAAGATGAATCGCACGAGGACCCAAATTAATACCACTATATGGAGTAGAGCAAACTCTTTCTCGGCCACGATCACCGTACTCGCTCGTTGGTGAAGCGTGTACAAAGAGTTAAAGGGTGTGTACAAACATGAAGTCAAGTCACCGATATGTACGTGTCCTCCTTCTCATACACGGGTACGAGGAAGACACAAAAATGCTTTTCAGAATTAAGAAAGACTCTTGATGATCACGACAGACATTACCTCTTAAGTCAAGGCAGTGTAGCCAAAGCTCGCGACTTGTTATCGGTAAGAAAAAAGTCCTCTCAATGGCCGAGTCCACCACTGATGAGACAAATTTTTGGCTTCTTGAACGATAGAAAGTCTCGGATAGTTTAGTGCTCACTGATGTTTAAATCATCTTGGAGCTCTTTTGAATGCTGGATCTTGCTAGAGATGAAGACTTTCTCACTCTCGTGTCTCACAAGCCCTCTCTCCTGCTGCAAGAGACATGGAAACTATGCAGGTTATGCTAGACATTAGACTTGACTTCTCACGCATTCCTGATGGACAAAGCTGCTGGAGGAAAGTTTCAGTCGTCATCTCCGATCATTGCGGAAGCGTCGTGCAGCTCGAGTCTCTATTCATTAGAAGGAGGGGCGGCGTGGGCAATTGATGGTCGTTGAAGAAGTTGCGATTTGACACCTTGCTCCTCACAATATCTGTACATGTACATGCAGACTGCCACCGATGCCTTCAAGCAAGCGTCAAAATAGATCACTCTAATGGCTTTACGCGGAAATTATCGGGAGTTATTCCCAGCGAGGAAGGCTCCGCATCATTAATCAAAAGCCTTGGAAGCCCCCTTGACAGCTCGAGTCATTGCCGGTGGCTGCGACGGCGTCACCGAGATCACGGAGGTTTCAGCGGGGCTCTTTCGGCCGCGGTCCGGGTCATCGCCGAAGAAGACCAGTGCGGTTGGGTTGACCAAGGGTTTATTCAGTGGAGCAAGGCGAAGATAACTAACATGTTCGTCCGATCGGGTTTCTGGGGGAGAACGGTATTGTCGACCGAAGAGGTTGCGTTAGACAATGCATTGACCGCCATCTCCCTTGCTTCTAGGAGCGTTTAAACCTTCTTCACCTTAACGATTGCCTAAATAGGCAAGCAGACTTGATCGCTGTTAGGGCAACTATTATTTGAAGGTCACGTACAATCTTGTGTGGCCGAACCAAGGCCGGATGAGAGAGGAATTAGGTCCGTAATAATTACCAGTATCGCGATAGCAGCTACTCCGCGGTGAAATTGTAGCAGAAATACGATTGACTCAATAACATCGTACAGACGATGCCATTGTTTAGAGTAGGCCGGTTCCTAGTGACCGATTGAGACTCGCTTCCACAATCATCGGCTCTCTTACAAGAACAAAGTCCATCATACCAAGGCCAGACACAAATATGGTGCCACGATATTCGGCTTACGCCAGCCTCTTCCCCGTCTTTTTACAGACATGCTTGCGCAGGATACCAGCATTGTTTCCGTCCCATATGAATTGCCATATCTTCTTCCTTCACCATTTCACGGCAACTTATTTTACAGCTTTGTTAATGGCACCAATACGTCGGATGCGTTAACTAACGAACTCCTTCAATCTGCCACCAAAGCACCGTTCATCTCATACGATGACGAGTTCCTGGCACTTCTCGGTCAGAATCCGGCCATTGAGTTGATCGAAAAGCGTCCAGGCAACTTTGCGAGAGAAGCTGGCGTATGGATCAGCGATCGCAATGAACTCTGGTACACAACTTGGATCAATGATGGGCCTACCCACGTGGAAATCTTGGATTTGAAAAACAACAGCATCAGAAACCTGACCTCTTCACAGTCGTTGAAGAACCCGAATGGAGGATTCTACCACCAAGGTCTCATGTACTTCACTTGCTTGCGAGACGACTCTCGAGACTGGTCTGGCGGGGTCGTATCTGTCAACCCAGAGACAGGCCACGTCGAAATTGTCCTCAACTCTTACTTTGGTCTCAAGTTTCAAGTTTGACAACATTGAAGATGTGGCCTGGGTCACACAGCCGGGAACAAACAACTCGTACATGTTCATCACTGTCCTGCCCTTCGCCGGGGGCTCAACCACGACAGATCGCCTGCCTCAGGGTCTGTGGCGCTGGGACCCCCAGAAGAAGGTCTTGTTACCTGCCATCAGCAGGACCGAGTTCCCCGTCGCCAACGGCGTCCGACCATCGAGGGACCAAAAAACTCTTTGGGTGACCGACTTTGGCGGCGATGAGCGAAGTAGAATTTGGGCGCTACCGGCTCAAGTAGGAGCACCGGCGATCTACAAATACGATCTAAATGAAGACATGTGGCCTGTCAACAAGCGAACCTTTGGTGTTTCGAGAATGCAGGCTCCGGATGGCATTCGCATCGATGACAAGGGTAGAGTTTGGACGGATGAGGGTGAAGGTGTTGTGGTCCGAAGTTCTCAAGGGAAGCTTATCGGTGTCTTTAATGGACAGTTTTTCACGAGAGATTCTGTTAACACGGCGATTGTATAATTCGAGCTCGCCGGGGATGTTCTGGAAGTGTTGGGCCAGAATAAGTTATGGACTGTCAAGTTAGCTGAGAGAGTTTACAGCGCTTAACAACCTGCATTAGCCTGTACTTTATGACAGACTACAAATTCCGAGGATAGCTTAAGGTAAATCAATAAGACCTCAATCACATGGGTTGCTGATTTGACATCTATTGCTCAAGCTCTGAAACGTCACTGTTAGTAATTCAAATTACGGGGTTACCAAGATGAGATATCCAGGCATGCAAGAGTTTCAGACGTATCTTGGTGGTAATGATGGCGGAAGAAGACATAACCTGTGTTGATGAGCTGCTTATCCTCCTCAAGGTTATCGCCTTGGTGATGAGTCGTGACATTCTGGGCATTTGAATTGCCATTACCCTGACCTGGCACGCACCATACTTTGGCAAACTCGGACTTTAAGCAAGGAACTCTTGATCTGTTTCGACTTTCCCTAGTCCACGAGTCTAAAGTTTTCTCAATAGTTCTTCATATAACCTTACATTTAACCTTGTATCTATCGAGCAGAAAATCCAACAATTTTGGCCCAATTGCCCCAAGTGCGCCATTTCATCGCCCACAAACCTTCAATCCGAACGTAGCCATTCCATGGCACTTCAACCTTTGAATTAAGACCATAAATACAGAGACTGTGGAACTACCCAAAATGATACCAGGACACGGTAATTTCTCAGCGTGCTGTACTTCAGTATGTAACAACCCGCGGGATGCGGTTCTTCCCACCACAGCTGGAGACGCGCCTTCTGATACCGGTGGGATAACTCTAAAGTGCGAGTTGCCTCTAGATACTGACTCGATCAATCCAAAACCGGGGACGCTTTAATTTGGGATAGATTGAAAATGTTGCGAATTAATCGTTCATTCAGCCTGCGCGAGTTGATCGTGCTCGACTTGATCAAGCTATAAAGACACTCGTTAGAACCTGAGCTCAGCCAAGCCTTTAAGACTACCACCATTTTCACCAAGCCGACGCCGTCACAATCCTTATCAATTGCATTCTTTACCACCGACCTTGCGTAAGTGAAACTACTAATCGTGACTTGTTGGTCGGCCTTTCGCTAACGAGGTAGCACCCAGGATTCCAACCCACAATGCAGCTCACAGGCTTCACCGCGGCTGTCGTCGCTATCTTCTTCGCCACCAGTGCCAGTGCCACGTGCACCACATCCTGGGGTGGATCCCCTTGCTCAGGGACTCAGTTGGCGTGTTGTATGGATATCAGCTATGGCGTTATGGAGCAGAACAAAAAAGATGAGAATTGGAGATATGCTTGGACGCGAGCCAACTGCAATGACTGCAAGGCTTGAGCCTGAGGACGGGGCTTTAGATCGGGAAACTCATCTCTCTTATCAAATCAATAACCTAATTCCATCGAAAATCCATGAGACAAGAAGACTCATTAGTTGGGCTACGTCATGAGGTCTGCTAACGCATGATCCTTGATTCACGAAGAAACCAGATGCTATAGGTGATTGCCGAAGGAATCAATTTGTTCTTAAGCACTTTCGAAATTTCATACGCCGAACGCCCCTTGAGATCTCTAATAAGCTTACTGTGTCTTTGATCATTATGCTCTATCTTAAAGTATTGTGCGTACCTTCTGCAGCATCGACCTCGATCTCCTCGAGCTGAACTACAGAGGGTTAGCAACGGCACGCGCGGCAAACCCAGCCGGGGTACTGCTGGTAAGGGCCGGAAACCTCACAAACGAGAAACCTGGGCACGGAGAAAACTTTTGCCCACCGGCTTCCATTTTGTCTTCTGCCTGGCCAGTTGAAATGTCGTGAACATCCGTCACCGGGTCATAGAGCAAAGAGCTGGACGAAGCGAGGAAGTCGGAACGCCTGAATAATCTGACCACGAGCCGCCAAGCGCGAAGCGCCGAGCCTCACCAAGAAGCGCCCAGCACTGAGTGGTCCCAACATCACCCAACAATCCTCGTCAGCCAAGGACCTCCAAGAGAATCCAAGAGAACAGGGATCATATCGCAATGTCTGAGCCATAAAGTATTGACTTGGCCGACCCAAAGGTGGTCGTCACACCGGAATGCGTGCCCTGGGCTTCATCACCTTCCCAGCTGCGGCGCCCCCTTTCGTCTCCACTCAGCGGAAAATCTTGCTTCCTCCGCTTGGCGCCGAGGCCGCGCTGACACCGATGTGAGATCCGGACTCCTCCGCTGAGCATTGGCGGCGGAAAACCAACCTACTTCCTAAGTATCGCGTTCAATGATGGTCCTCGAAGGTGCTGTCAGCCCCGGACGCCGAGTCACTTTGTTAAGACACTAAGACTCTTGTCATACCTCGCCACTCTAGGCAGTCCACTGTTTCTTCTTGGGCGAGTTATGTATGTTACCTGGCTTCACGTCCTCCCGGCTCTTTCCGTAGCCATTAGCCCTCTCACCCGATAAACTCTTCTATGCATTCTTCTCTGGTCGCTCTTCTCCTATGACCGAAATACGTTCATTAGAAAAGTGTCATCGAAGTACTTTGGGGAATTGTCCATCAATCTCGATTAGCGTAGTCCATCTCAACTCGCTGGGTGGGGTAGTTAAGTCAGCGTCCTGGCATTACCAAAGTTGAGAGATTTATCAATTTCTCTAGAATCTACACCGTATCTGGCCTTGAGCCTGACACTTTACTACCAAGCATGTCTCACATTTTGCTATGCGCTTCATCTCTGAACGACGCTACTGAGGCTGTATTAGATCATGTTCTTTGGCTGGCTAGAAGCCAAATCTTTAAGCGTCTAACCTGGGAGGAAGGACGCGTGAGTGTTACCTACGGATAGTCAATTCAGAAACAATCAAGCTGTCAGATACCTCCATGACGAGACTACTAGATTTGAGACATCCCCAGCCAAGTAGCAGATGATGACAAAACCCCTGAAAATCTAACGCTCTCCCCTGAAGATGAAGAGATTCTGATCCGCAGGTGAAGTCTTCTATTTACGAGATTCACCTGCACTTGGCCCGTCACGCCTTCCCTGTGACCCCATTTGTGGCAGTACTTCGTAGAAGTATCAGCCGAAGCACGGATATCTCGCTGTCTTCACCTCGAGGACTTTGTACGCTCTAGCATTGAGAGCCGCTATAACCCCCTACCATGATCTACAGGGCGTACTTGGCTCTGAATCAAAAGTGTTTGTGATCAGAACCCATCCCCAAAAGAATTTGGCCGCCCAAGATCTGCAGCCAAGTCGCTCCCTTTTGGCACGCAGCCAAGTGTGCCCCTGGTTGACATACCACTCTTAAATATCCGGACTCTCGGCGCTGCAGAAGAATTAGTTGCCCTTCCGCCGCTCACCAGACCACTCTTCATCAGCAGCGCTGAGCTACCGGGTGACTGTCATACCACACGGAATCGAGCAAGCGTCGTTGTCCATCATCATTCCAAGTTCTGGCCCTCTGACTTCATTTTTTGCGGGATTTCCTTCTGCTCGTTTAGACATTCGTTTTGGATTTCTTTATCATCCTCTCAAGGTCTCGTTAGAATATATCTTCTTTCTTCTTTCCAAGCAACTCCATGCAAATATCGTATGAGCATTAGCTAAAGAGATCATCCCTATCCTTAAAGCCCTTGCTGGCCAAGGCAGCCTTTCTCGGCAAACGCACAACACACCTTCTGGGCACGTCACACAAAGATCACTTACACATTGAGAGTGAAGGCACCAGCAGGTACCCAAGATGCCTACCTTTGATCCCAGCGAATTAAATGTCGTTCTCGCTGTTTTTGGTGCGTGCTCCGGACCTTACATGTTTTGGCTATGACTAATCCGGTGTTCCCACCATATCCAGGCGCGTTCATCATTCTATTTGGTATCATATCCGTCGAAATCAAAACTGTGTGGTACTTAGGCGAGGCCTGTAAGATCAACCTCGAACGTTCTCCGCGCTGTAGTCACCGTAGATACGGAGCGTAATACTTAAGTTCCCATGGACCATTCACTGACTTGTTGCTCTTGATCAGTACCGGCCGTAGTGTTGGGCATATGCCTGGGCCCTATAGCTGCTAGGTTCATCGACAGCGAGAAGTGGGGGTCAGCTGTTGAGGGGCAGACCCAAGATATCACTCTTGTAAGTGCTTATAATGTGGCCTCATCACGATCCGGATCACTTCAATGTGGAGCCTTGCGTTCAGGCACTGATGATTGGCTTGTGTCATAGGGGCTCACAAGAGTGATGATTGGCATTCAGCTGGTCATGGCTGGCTATCAACTCCCAGCAAAGTACCAAAAGACTAAATGGAAGGAGATGGCAATCTTAATGTTACCCATTATGACACTGATGTGGTTAGCGACGACAGGCTGCATCCTGGCAACCATTCCCAAGTTGACATTTCTGGGTGCTGGGGTCATCGCTGCCTGCGTGACCTCGACGGATCCAGTCCTGTCACAAGCCGTTGCCAAGGGGCCTTTCGCCGATAAGTTCGTTCGGCGCTCTTTGCGTGAAATCATCTCTTCCGAGAGTGGCGCAAATGACGGCTTCGGCTTCCCCATATTGATGCTGACGACGTACCTCATCCGGCACGCGGAGGGATCTGAAGTGCACGCGGATGGTTTGACATTGCACGCAGTCAGTCGTACGCTTCTTCCGAGAGCCGGTGACGTCGCCCGCCAAGGCGGAGGCGTTGGTGTTGCTCTGCTGAATTGGCTGCTGGAGACATGGCTTTACTTTGTGGTCATGAGTATAGCCTACGGAATCATTATGGGAACTCTGATCAGGCTTGCACTGAAGTATTCTGTCAGAAAGTAGGTTGATCGGTCAATGAGCACGAATTCGGTAGTTTCTAACAGAGACACAGAAAGTGGATCGATTCCGAAAGCTACGTCCTGGTGCCCACAGCGATTGGTGTAAGTCACGGATACTAAATGAACTACATGAAAGTTGACTGACAACTCATAGCTCTTCATGATGGGCACTTCAGGAGCCATCGGAACTGACGATTTGCTATCTTGCTTCGTCGC